TTCCTGAAAATACTGAGGGACAAGAAAATAAGCATTTGTGGAGTGAGTGCTGAGAATACAAATCAAGTGCAACTTTCGGTCTAAAAAGTTTCTGCATATCTGTTTCTGAGGCATAGAAATTCTACAGCTGGTTTTCTTTCCATTTAGATTTCAGGCCATTGATGGGACAAGAATTCAAGAATTCTGATGAGACATCTCTTCTGTGAAATGTAGATCAACATTGGACGAAACTCCACTTAGAGATACCTCCTCCATGAAACATCTCCCTGCCCTTCCAGCTACAAGCAAACTCTCTACCAGGTTCATTTCCAAACTTCTTCGTGCCTCCATGACAACACCCCTCATATTCTACCTCATGTTATATTTACGTGGGTGCATGCCTTTGCTCCCCTCCTAGGCGGGAACTCCTGCAGAGCCAAGGCATGTTTGTTCATCCTCATCATCCAAAGAGTATCTATTAATATCTGACATATAGCAGGTGTTCAGTAAATTTTGTTTAATTAAACTGAGTGGAATTGAGTTTATGTTCCAATAACTGTGAATTTGAAGCCTGCTTTTTTTAGTTTGTTTTCACTTTCTCTTCACATAGCTGATTTAGCAGTAGCACTTATCAGTTTTAAACCTGGATAGATTCTTCTCTGATTAAAAAATTTCCTGTCATAAACATTTACAGCTAGTGCCACAATTTAGGTAACAGTTACATATAGGTATACCTTAGAGGTGTTGCAAGTTGGGTTCCAGCCCACCATAATAAAGTAGTATCACAAAAAAGTGAGTTGTAATCTTTTTTGCTGCTGGAGGGTATTGCCTTCAATTTGTAGAAAATGCAGCACCTGTGAAACAATAAAATAAGTTGTGCCTCTATTTATTTAACCTAACTAGTTTCCTTATCTGTATTTTTAGTGGTTGGGTGTGAAATAAAATAATGATTTTTGGCGGGGGGGGGGGTGCGGGAAACTAATAGCTAATGTCCCTTTTATTACTTTCCCTTGCCCAAGAAACATGTTTTGAATGATTTGGCCTATCTAGCCGCATTTATACATACAAATAAGTTTATTAGTATCTATTAAATTCAAAACATAAATAATTGGCAATGGTTAAGTAATTGTTGTTATAAGACTGACTTGATATAATTCTAACCCAAATTATTTGTTTTTTCAATAAATATTTATTAAGTGCCCACTGGGTATCAGGTCTGTTCTTAGTATTGGGGGTTAATGTTGAACTAAAGAGACAACATACCGGCTCAAGTAAGACTTAAGCTCTAGTGGGGTTGAAAGCAGAAACTCGATCGTTCTCAGGATCAAGTAAAACTGTGTAGCAGTATTTGATAACAAATATATGACTTAATTTAGGCTTTTTAAAGTTTGAAATAGCCTATGGTTTCGCACTGTTAACCTGCATCTAGAGCCCTCTTTTGTCTAGGGAACCAGTGGACTAGAAGCATTCTGAGGTCCCACCTTCCTGGAAATTCTGGCTGCATTGTTCCTGATTATATGCGTTTTTCTATTGCAGTATAAACAATTATCATAAACTTAGCTGCTAAAGACAACAACCATTTATGATCTCACACTTTTGTACATCAGACATCCAGGTAGGCTTGGCTGGGTTCTCCGCTTCAGGCCTCATAAGGCTGAGGTCAAGGTGTCGGCCGGCTGGCTCTTGTGTAGAGGCTCTGGGAAGAACCTACATGAGCTTATTCAAGCTGTTGGCAGAATCCGGTTTCTTGCAGTTGTAGGGCTGAGGTCTGTTTCCTGGTTGGCAGTCACCAGGGACCCTCCCTCAGCTCCTAAGGCCATTCACATTTCCTTCTCATGGCCTCCTCCACTGTCAAAGCCAGCAATGGCATTTGAAGTCCTCACCCTGTGAATCTCCCTAACTTCTGCTGCCAGCCAGAGAAAGCTCTCTACTTTTTAGCCCGTGCCCGTGTGATTAGACGAGATCCACCTGGATAATCTCCGTAGCTGAAGTTCAGCTGTGCCACATAACACAATCACAGAGTGAGCCCTCATCACATTCACAGGGGCTGTGTATTAGGGCAAGACATCTTTGGGGACCATTTCAGAAATTCTGTGTAAATCAGGCAAGAGAAAGATATAAAAGGCATCCAAATAGGAAACAAAGACGTCAAACTGTCACTATTTGTAGATGACATGATTCTCTATATAGAAAACCCTAAAGACTCCACAAGAACACTACTAGAAACAATAAGCAAATACAATAAAGTCTCTGGATACAAAATCAATGTTCAAAAATCCATAGCGTTGCTACACTCTAATAATGAACTTTCAGAAAAAGAAGTAGAAAAAATAATTCCTTTTGCAATTGCAACAACTAAAATAAAATACCTCGGAATAAATCTAACGAAACGTGAAGGACCTATATAATGAAAACTATAAGAACCTATTAAAAGAAACTGAAGAAGATATAAAGAAATGGAAAGATATTCCATGTTCTTGGATTGGAAGAAGCAACATAGTTAAAATGTTCTTATTACCTAAAGCATTATACAGATTTAATGCAATCCCCATCAAAATCTCATCAGCATTTTTTAAAGAAATAGAACAAAAACTCATCAGATTTGCATGGAAGAACAAAAGACTCCGAATTGCCAAAGCCATCCCGAGAAAAAAGAATGAATCTGGAGGCATCACTCTGCCCAACTTCAAATTACACTACAAAGCGACAGTAATCAAAACAACATGGTATTGGAAGCAAAATAGACACATGGACCAGTGGAACAAAACTAAGAGTCCAGAAATAAACCCATATTTATGTGGGCAAATAATTTTTGACAAAAGAGCCAAAAACATACAGTGGAGAAAGAAAAGCC